TTCTTCCTCGAGCATGCACTTCAGAGCAGTGGTGTCATGACGGTTAACACAGCAGGTTTGGAGAATAAACTCTACTGGGACATAATGGGCTGAAGCGAAATAGCACGAGCCCAGTCTCAGGAAGGTCTTTTGCTCGTGCAGAAGGCACTGGTACTTAGCTGAGACAGTGGAGACTGCCTGACAGGTTGCAATTACTTCTGCCAAGTGCACTAGGCTGTGTTCTAAACCTTTGCTTAATGGGGGCAGATCTGTTCCGAGTTATAAAAAATAAAATAAAACTGCCTCAGGTCATAGATATGACAGTATCTGTGCTTCTAATCAGGTTTCACCTTCAGCAGCAGGTTTTGCTTATTCATCCTACATAAACCTCAAAATGAGCTGAATTTTCTTCATAAAAAAACATGGAAATGGAATAAATCTCAGCTTGTTTCCATGAACTCCAAGACAGAATTACCACTCCAGCTGATCGCGCATGCCAGGTACACTCTGCTAAGATAAGAGCTTCCTTCAATGTATCTCTGGCAAAAAGACAAGTTATGAAATGAGAGTCCACTTTGGAGTCTCTGTATCATGCTTTTTTGTGCTATAGCAAATTGTTTTTGCAGCACACGCTAATATACATCTAGAATAATATTCAATTAGGCTAATAGCTGCTGCTTACATTGTTCTGTAAGAATCAGTGATTAAGAACCTCTCTGTATGGTTCAATCTACATTAATTGATTTCTCCTGCAGAATATATGCACCTGCCTGTTCTTCCTTTGGGATCCCAATATGAAGTAAAGCTATTATGCAGGTAAACAAAGGAGAAAAAGGATGACCTTTAACTTTGACACGATAGCCTGCAGTATTTGTGATTAGCTGTCATAACTGATCACTCTTAATAATGATATGCTGGATAAGAAGCTGAAATGAGGAAACAGCTGGAGACAGAGGAAGGTTGGAGGGGAGCCGGAATGACCTTCTAGCAACGCGCGCGCTTGTCAGGGCAGGAGGACTCGTGCAGGGTTACACTTTAGGCCTCACTCTGACACCGGAAAACTTGGTAAACAGTTGATTCCACAAGTGGCTCCACTGAAATGATGTTTGAAGTATAAGGAATTAGCTGTCGTTTGTTTTTATTAGGATATATATTATTAAAATATATAAATATTCCTTTATTAGGACTTGTGGTGGAACTCCCTTCACATGCACAGCCTCTGCAGACTTGAGGCAAGTCCTGGGCAGGCAGGATTGCCAGTCCAGCCCACGAATAACGACTGATGAGGGAGGCATCTGCCAAAGCAGCTAGCGGCACTCCCGCTGGCATTACTGCGGGCTCTGGCTCCCTGGCATGAAGTGGGCTGACTGTATGAACATGGGGAGGAAAAAGGGTCAAAGAACAACGTGAGCTCTTTGCAAGGTTGTTTCTGTTTTCTAATGCTTCATAAGCACGTAATCCCAGTTGTTCGTTCTCACCACTGGGTGACAGAATGTTATATCTTACCTGATATAATGGTGGAAAATATAAATAGCTTTCTAGCAACCAGGCTTCATTAATATGTATTGGAAACCTAAAATGGTATTCAGCTATGAGGGAGAAAAAGTACAGAATTGCTTTGGATTATAATAATTTCAGCAAAGCATCTAATTTATATATTAAGCTTGCTTAATGGACTTACATTGCCTTGCTCTTTGATCTGAAGAAAAAGGTGGTGAACAATTTATCAAAGAAAAAAACCTCCCCTAGCCCAGCCCACACGTCACAATCTGCCCTACAATTTACATTTTTTAAGAGATGCCTTTTCCAGGCAGGAGAATTGGTTCCTAAAGATTCCTTCTCATATTACGAATGTGTTTTCGCAAGGTACACTCTGGGGAAAAAAGTAATAATGAAGGAATGCAATTCTACAGACAAATGTTTCAGCTCTATGCCTTCTTCACTAAAGACAGTCATTTCAACTAAATGCCAAAAGGCATTTAGCTGTAGCATTTGTCAGTGGAATAGGGCTGGCTTTAGGTTTCCCTCCTGATTTACAATTGAGTGTTTATTGGGTTTACTGTACTGTAGCATGTTTTGTTAAACTCTAAAAAAACACACCCAGCTTGTGCATTAATCACAAGGATGATATCTGTCACGGTAAACTGGGTCAGCGTGGGGCTTTTGTGCCCTGCCAGACTCCATGGAAAGGATGCTGGCTGCTCCCAAAAGGGCAGGAAAAGATGCGCTGGCGGCTTTGGGCTGGGGTCTAGATAACCTGTGTCCAGCTCCTGGCTCCTGAGATGGTTTCTTCTGAGATGCATAATCTATTTCTCCATGTCTTTATTTTTCAACCAGAAGAGGGGGGAAAAACTGTGTCATGTCATCTCACAGTAGCTGGGTGAGCTGCCGTAGAGTCACATGCCTGAGGAGGATTTAGGTCGGTGTGGTGGTGTTTAAAGGCTAATTATTGGGAACTTTGTGCCTGGAGTTCCTCAATTGGTTTGTGTCTACCTATTGTAGTTATTCCTCAGTAATCCTTGCTTCTGGTCACATCCATGCAGAACAGCAGTGTTGGTAATCACAGCTCTATCATGACTCTCGACAGGTGTCCCATTCACATTTCGCCCCATTTGTCCAAAGCAATGAGTTGTCAAACATCTAGTGCGGCTGTGTGCAGGGTTTATTCATATTTAAATAAAGCCATTATCCTGGCCTTGAGTTTCAGTAGTTTTCTGCTCTTCCTCTTGAGTATTTCTCTCAGTAGTGCCATCTAATCAGCTTTAGGTTTTAATTAAACAGCTGTCATTTGCTTCCTAGTTCTGTTGCGACCTGATGTTGTATTAAATTTTAATTTAGCCTAGGCTGGATAAGAAGTAGATTCCTTCAGACCACAAAGAAACGCTATTAGCAGGTTACAGTTGTAATTAAGAAGAGCTCTGCTGAAGTGCTAATGCATTCAGGTACAGAGAAGGAGCTGGAGATAAACATGCACATAATTATTATTCAGGGACAGAGCCTGCAATATGAATGCATAGCTTCCACGTGGGCTGCTTGAATTGAATGTTTTGGTCAAGATCTCGCAGCTGAAACCCTTGACAAAAGAAATAGGAAGGGATTCCTGGTTTTTCACCTGGGACCTTGCAGTGTCAGCAGTTAGAGGTTTGTGCTGGTGGTCCCCGGGTGTTGTTCCAGATGTTTCACTGATGCTGTGCCACACGGGAGGGCCTGCCTCTGTAGATCAACGTTATTACCCCTCTCTACATTCCAGTTTCTGTTAGTAATAACCAGCACAGGTATCTTAAATTCAGTAACGCTTTTTTTCTGCAGTAAACCCTACCATGAAAATACAAAACAAGCTTAACAGAATGTAGATTAAATGCTATTACTTGTTGAAGATGCACTGAAAAAACCAGTCTGTTTATAAATCTAATGGACAGTCAATTAGTTCAGTTCTGCCTTCATATTTCTTCCTCAGAGGAAATATATTTTTTCAGTCTATGAACGGCCAGCTCTTAAAAAGGTCTTTACACAGCCTCTTATACTTGTTTAACATTCGATCCGGGCATCAGGTGTCTAAAACACTGATTTATGTCATAGAATGGCTTACAGGTGAAGTGTAGTTTTTGTGAAGCAGCACCTGCTAATTAGCACGGTGGGTACCTGTACACGCTGGGAAGGAGGGAAGCTTCAGGACAGTGCTTGTGCCAAGAGTAGGATGAGCAATATTTCAGAACACGCGCAAATAGCGGGGTTGCAGGGTGTTTCTTCTAAGACCTTTTCTCTCATGCTCATCTTCACGGGGAGTTTACGAAAGGAATGCAAATGTCTTTTTAAACTTTGCATTATCCTTCAGAGCATCAAAGTCTGACCTCAGCTTGGTAGCTAAGCAGCACTTGGAGTTAAAAGGAGGCTCGAGGTTTTGTTTATCCTTTGTCACACATGAGGGTCAACACGAGGGTGATACAATGAACAGTGCAAAAACCAAAGGAGAAATTAGTTCAGGCCTGTTGAGAACTTGATTCCAAGTCCACTGAATTCAAAAGAAGCCTTTCATTAATGAAAGCAGGGCTTTGGATCAGACCGTAATTGCATACAAGTGCCACCTGCCCCTGACATGTAGGAGTTACATACCTGTGCTAACAGAGAGTGGCTTTGGAAGTAGAATTAGTTGCGTGTTCGTTGTTTGTGACCTTGGCAAAAATGCTGTTTCCCCTGATGCACTGAAGAAGACTGTCCGTTGTTGAAGAATGGCTTAGAAATAGCATACCGGCAAACTGCTTCTTGGGAGCGTTTTGACACAGGACCACCATGTCTTCATCCTATATCTGGCATATGTTTATGCTGGATCGATGGCTTAGGTTTTATGGGATATTTGCTGTTGGTTTGGTGAAATCTACCTACCTCTTCTCTGACGTAGCTGTGGATGAAGCACCCTCAGTTTCTTTTTGTATGTCTTATCCAACTTCTTTCCACCTGAGGTGCATCTAACAGTTTTCTTTCACTTGGCAGTGGATTTTCTTCTTAGTTTTGTTCAGTCCTCAGTCTTTATAAAGGTTTTACAGTTGCTCTTCCACACTTCCACTTCGTCACATACTCCTCTCTTTCCTGGTGTCCCTCCCTCATGGATGGCAGCTGGTTATAAATGAGCCCATTCAGCATAAACAAAAACTAGACAGTCATTTACTGTGTAAAACATCTGGTTTGTGCCTCACAGAGAACAGAACAAAGACAGTATATTTATTTCATGAGGTATTATTCAGAAAAGCATCTCTATTCAGGACAACACTTAAATGCATGCTTAAATCACATTGAAGTCTTAGTGTCAAGTTGAGCACGTACTTTTAGTGCTGTTCTGAACAGAAATGGACTCGAGTACATGCTTAAATGCCTTTCTGGAACATGACTGCCCATAAAGCTCTAGTAGACTATATTAGTTAGCTGGCACTGGTGTTATTAGTACTTCAACTCATTTAATTCAGGGTGCTTTTTGTAGAAGTTTCCGAATATTGATTAATAATACATCTTAGTTGCAAGTATTTATTGGTCTTCTCCAGCTGTCCTTAGCTTGTGGTCAATGCCCATTATTTTCTATCAATCTAGCTAGCAGACAGAAGCAAATGATAGTGAATATATCTCCCTATGCAAGCCGCCATCAAATTTTTCACTAAAATCCATTTCTTCTTCCACCAATTCTAATAATGGAATTTAAAGTTAGATTAGTTGGAAGCAACTTTTTTTTCTTTCCCAACTGGCAAGCAATTAGTTTTATGGAAGTTGAAAAATGAAAAGTGGCTTGATTCAAAGCGGTATTTCCTATTGCAGGCTTTTTGAGAAGGCCGAACTGAATCTCTGCGAAAGCACAGATCATTCCTTGCCCCGCATTTGTGTCAAGTTTTGGGCCTGCAGTAAGCACTGCTTAAGCAGAGACAAGCTGCTCTGGAGGCCTTTGGAGGCTGTTCCCCTCCAGTCTGCATACCTTTTTTACGCAAGGCAGGGACCTTTGTAGCAACTCATTTGGGGTAATTAATCAAACTGCAGCCATACTGAGACACAGAGGAAGGCTGTGTTAATGGAGTCATTAGAGTGCCAGCACTGTGAATTCATCAGGATTAGAGATAAATGTGGTGAAACATCTCTAGGTGGGATCTTGATGAGGAAAGATTAAAAAAATTATATATGGATGGCATTGCTTAGTTTGTAATACCCTACCTCATGCATAGTTTTTCTCATCATGTATTTATGTCCTGAAAAGGGAAAACGGTCAACTCGCAACACTGTTAGCTGGAACGGTAAGGAAGAAATGCTGTTATTGTAATGCTTGATAACCACCTCCCAAATCACTGGCATGCTTTGGGGCAAAGGGCTGGGAAGAGTGGCTGACACCGTCTGGAGATCATACCCGAATAGCACTGTGGTTCTGCCAAGCTGCAGGCGTGCCTTCGCGTGTAATTGCGTTACAGATTTCATTGCAACAGCAGCCAAACCTGTAAATGGGCTCAAAAAGAATAAATCTGTGTTCGTCAAAACCAGAACTTGACGGTCCAGATGCAACTTTTGGCTTAGAAAGTTGTTAAACCGTTGGCTGCAGGGAGGTCGAAGGGTGCGTGCAAGGAAGGGTTGCTCCTCTGCCCCGTCCCTCTCAGAGGCAGGGTTTTGGTTCGTCAGTCGTGTGGCATTTTCATGGTTTTATGCTTCTCTGATGCCCACCCTTCATTTGTGTATGTGTGCATACAGGACACGGAAGTCCTTAACACGGCCATTCTGACGGGCAAAACGGTGTCTGTTCCAGTCAAGGTTGTTGCCGTGCAGGAGGATGGGTCCGTAGTTGATGTTTCAGACTCCACCGAGTGCAAATCGGCTGATGAAGACATCATAAAGGTAAGGCACCCACAGGAGGTGGAGAGTGGAGTTTTCACCCCTTCCTCCTCCGCCACCACCATATTGGGACCTAGCTCCCATTCGTGATTTTGCATCAACCAGTTGTTTTACAATCGTGGCTGTTTCTGCGCTGGCGGGTTGTTTCTACTGCGCGATGAGGAGAGTGGTCTCCAGAGGTTATGCAGGGCTAGCACGTTTCCATAGACTGATGTGGAGCCATTTGTACTGGTGTGTTCCATATGGGAGAGCGGACCAGGGATGCTGAAAGAGCAGTCCTAGTCTTTCTTCGCTGGCCAGCCAGTGCTGATGAGAAAGGACGTGTTGTCTGATACATCCCACTTGGGAAAAGTCAGCTCCCCACACAGGGATCTTTGGTTTTGTGTGGCTTTTCTGCATCCATTATTTAATAGTCATAATGCAGTATATTGTAACAGTGTGCAGCAAGGTTTCCTACATGTTTCTGACTGCTTTCCAGTCAGGAATTTCTTGTAAGTAAACATAACAGAACTGTACCAAAATCTGGATGCGCATGACAGAGAATAGAAAAAATAACAACCATATTGCAAAAATTCTTAGAACGAGAGCTGGGAGCTTTTAAACAATGTTGTGGTTTGGTTTTTTTTATAATACGTTCAACGGGTTCTCCCTCCCTGACATTGAGATGAAAATAGCATTAATGTGACTTTATCAAGACATGGACTGCATGACTTCTGACACCATTGCACAGCTTTCAGCTTTTAGCTCATTATTATTTCTAAATAACGAGCATAAAAGAGGCATTTTTGAACGTCTTTAATAGGTTTATTTGTTTTATTATGTGGTTTGGGGGTTTTAAATTAACTGAAGAATTGACTACAATTAATTCTGTATAGGGGTGGGGTTTTTTTCTATTATTTACGAATTTCTTAGGGTAGTCCTATAAAGGTAGTTTCTTTGTCTCAGTTCCAGGAAAGTGCAGTATATTATATATAAATGCTATGAAAATAGGGCAGTATAGTCACCCTTTTTATATAGTAATCCTGCAATCTGTAGATCTTATGATAAACTCTCTCTCTAGCTTTCAAGAAACAAGTTCCTCCCCATATTCTAGCTGTCAGTTGTGTCATGTGTGAATGTATTCCAGACCTCAGCACTTCTTTAAGTTTTCTTCAGATTGCATTGGAAACCCACATCCTTTACCTGTGTACTTTGAACCTATGATTATAACCTCTTTGTAAATAAGACTGCAAAAGTCCTAATAGATAGCTTGTACTTTGTCAGATAAATTTTCATGTTCTGGCTGGCTCAAAAATTGCACACAGCATAGCTATTTATTTTGAAGATGATATGCTGGAACAAAAAATTCACCTTCTTATTTTTGACAACTCTGAATAATCTTGTTACTGATTTTTGGAATAAATTACATCCTCTAAAACAAAGAAAATTTCATTACATTTTAGGTCCAACAACAAATTCCTTTGCAGTTAAAGAGCTTACAGAGAAACTGTACATTTTGTAGAAATTTCCTCTTTCTGAGACATATAGGTAGGTGAAAGATGACATCCATTTGATCCTAGGTAGCTATAGGAAAGGCAAGATGGGTTTGGGCAAAAGCCATAGTCAGGCAACCTCTACTTGCTTCCAACTTTTTTCATTAAGGTTTATCTCCATTTAACATGAAGGCAAACCATTCATAAATAAGATTCAAGTGCCTGGGCAGAAGCATGTGTGCCATTATAGCCTCGGAGAAGTTGTTAGCTTGGGGCTTAGTTATACAATAACGATGCCGAGCAGCTTCCAGACCTCAAAGCATTTTGCAAAAGATGTCAGTGTAATACTCTCTTTTCATGAAAGTGACTGTTCCAGTGTTTAGCCTCAGCAGTGATGGAATAGGTCTCTTGAGTCTGTGCTCTAGCTTCTGTATTTTCCCTTATATATCAGATGGGGAAAGAAAAAAAAAAAGACATTTTCTGGAAACCAAATTTCCTTGAAAGTCCTTACCAGAAGGAACATGAATGAATATCTTTGTTTATGACTAACTTTATTGTCAAAGCAACAGACTCTTGATAAATTTTGCTATTCTTTATTTGCTGTGTACCATACAGCTATTATCTGATTAGTGGCTATTATTTATCAGTTCACAATGAATTGTTCATATTATAAACTCAAGCACCGCGTTACATATCATCAACATATTGCTGAGACCGTCTTTTCTTCACACTTCAGAAAACCAGATCCAGATCTAAAAGATGGTGTATGGGGACTTTTGTTTCTATTAATTGAGTTTCTAGTATTTCTAGGACTTGTTGTAGTTAGAGAATACTGGACAGAACTAGAGAGGAAAAGGTCAGGAAAAGGACTCCTATTCCTCTTCCACTAATAAAATTAGGATCTGCAGACATCAGGGAGATGTTGCATTTCAAAACACTGCCTGTTTAAAGTCCATTTAGTTCAATCAGCAGTTGTCCATATGGATCTCCTGTCAAAGCTGAGCATGAAGTTGTTCTGGTTCCCAAATTTAAAAAGTCCCCTGAAGCTGGCAACTAAGTAAGACTAGCATGACCTCCGTGAGCAGAGACAAGATTTCCAGTTGCAGCTGTGGATTTATACATTTCAAGAAAGCAAAGCTCTTGCCTTTTGACCATCTTCCTTCCTTGCTTTTTCAAAATGGGTTGTATTTCTACGTGGAATTAGACCTGCTCCAAAGCGCCTTCAAGTTGATGAGTGTCCTCCCATTCCTTTCAGTGGTCTGGATAGAGCAGACCAAAACACAGGCAAAAATGCTGCACAGGTTTTACAAGATTTGCACTATAATTCCCCCTTTTTTTGGTAGTGACTAAGTTGGGTATAAATCAGGTCTTTATTTGACTGCTCTGTGAAATTACTTGGGTATCAAATCACTGACAGAACAGAATGCCTCTGGGACTCTATCCCAGACCTGATACCCAACTCTAATATATTGACTTAATGAACAAAAACAAGAGGTCTGAATGTGGTCTTCACTGCGTTCATCTTGCCTCATCTTGGTGATATAAAATGGGAGTAACGTTATTTTTCTGAAAATTACAGCATCCTTATAATGGATTTCAGTGACAAATTACTGAGAGGTACTCTCAAACTCAATGCTGTTCAGGCATAATTTTTTAACTGGAAATATAGGTATTGGTTGCAAGATCGAATCCATAACGATTAATTAGCTGAGTTAAAATTTAGTACAGGGTTTATGTGCCTATATTTTTTCAGAAAAATGCATATTCCCTTTACAAGCCCCTTTGGTAAAGTCAGTATTGACTTTGCTTCCAAATTTTTGTTGCCTTTTCTATATAGGTGGTACTGCTAAACCCTCTAATAAGAGATGTCAGGCATTTTGGATGTAATTGCCTAATCTTAAGCTTCTTTTCACTGTTAATTCTGCCTTTATTGTTTCTTTGTAATTGGAGAGATATTCATATTCTTTTGGGCAGAACAGAGTGTTGCATTCTTAACCTTTTATTTCTGTTTAATGGCTAATGATTTAGTAGACAATTAATGAGACAATTCTTTGATCACTGCTGTAACACCATTATTTTCAATTAAGACACAGTGAATTGAAGCTAGCTTAAATAAAAACAGACCTTGGCCCAGGCTGTTATGTATTTATACAAAACATGCTTCTCTGGGCAGCTACCTAGATATCACCTTGATATAAATACTACTCAGAGATGGTCAAATAGATAGATGATGTACAAGTGATTTATTTGTAGGCAGGAGATGTGAATCTTTCCTGTCCTAAGCCATACATTCCCTCAGCCTAACGGTTTAATAGCTTCCCAGCAAGAGAATATTTCAGTCCACATTTTTCAAAGCATACCTAATTAGTGGTAAATACAATGAAACACACCTATTACTTTTTGACCTTGCATTTTCCGACCTTAGCGTGACTTGATCCTGAAAGGAATCTCACAGGTAAACTTGCTCAGTTCAGCTACAATCCCCAGTCCCTACAATTGCTGGTCCCTGCAGTTGGACCCAGGTCGTAATACTGACCAACCATTTTAACTTGAACTGGCTATCCTCTAAAAATTTTTGATGGAAACATCACTGTAAGTCAGTGAAACTCTTATGTTTATTCCATTATTGAAAAGGAACATTTAATGCTGTTGGCATTTGAGGGAAAAGACTGGCTTTATGATTAAGGCACTGAAATGCTTCTCAGCTAATTTCCCTAGCTCTTGCTGATTTCCTGTGTGACTATGGGTAAATCACTCATTCCCCTTGGAATCTCGCGTCCTTATCTGCAAACAAGGTGGAGAAATACATCCTCTTCCCACCCTCAGCCTGCCTTATGTAGTTTCTGAAGCTACTGTTGACTCTGAATGGACAAAATCCTTATCTCCACTAGAGTCTCATTAACTTCAGTGGTCTTCTGCCATGGACTCACTTGAAGGACTTCTCTCCCAGTGTCCCGCTTTTCCTGCAAACCACAGCTAAATAGGGTTGTGAAGCTGAAAAGAAAGAAGTGGTGGAAACTTAATAGAATTTATGCACAAATTATTCAGCTACTCTGGTGATGGGCAATACTGAGAGATAAGGGAGCTGTAGGCATGGTGGGATAGCCACGGGGCCTCAGTCTTCACAGGTGGGAAAAAAAAACCTTGAAGAAAAAGTTTAAATTGGTTGTACCGTGGCAAGGGCCTCCTACGCTCATCCATCCTGCCAGGAAGTATAACCACTGCTGAAGTTTTGCTGGCCTGTTACAGTGGGTTTCACTTGCTCCCCACTGGCCTTCGAGCCATAGTTAGAGGGAAATAAAGAGTTAGACCAACATCAGTGATGGAGGAAACACCTTCAGATGGTTGTATTCCAGAGGGAAGTCTAACCTGAGGGGCTTTGGCACGGTCAGTCTTTACGGCTGCTTAGAAGCTCCAAGCAAGGTCCATGCACTCCTTTTTCCTCCCTGTAAAAGTGCCTTTAAAAGCCTGAACCATAGTAATTTCACATGAAGAAAAATTCTGAAAACATTGTAGTTAGGTGGTAGTCAT